CTCTAACTCTTAGGGAAAGAATACTAAATAATTATAAATAAATAAATAAATAAATAAATAAAAAGGAGTTTCGGTATCATGCATTTTTTTTTCTCTTACGGTAACCACTAACCACAGTATCATGTTTTAAGTTCCTAATCATCTTTTCTTATATACACTTGTAGACATTATTTCCATTTTGCGTGTCCACTCTCTTTCCTTTGCTCAGACCTTGGATCATATAATTATTATCTCTTGTGCCCACCTTCAAAATGACCATAGTGTTTGTACCTTTCTTTTTCTTCTATATAGTCAAGTTGAGCACCTACTAAATACTAATCACATGCTCGGAATACAATTCCAATTTCATCAACAACAAAGTGCGATGAACAACACACAGAATATTCGACTAGTTATATATATATATATATATGGTAATGCTCTAAAGCCGAAGTAATGTTTCTTCAACTTCATCAGCAATGGTTGTGGAGATTATGATCACTCATCATTACAAAGAAGATAAATGTCACAAAGAATTAATGTGTTATTTTATGTTATTTTACTTGTATCGGGTTTTTTTTATACATATGAAAGAAGGAAAAAAAAAAGAAAAAAAACAAGCCTAAAGCACTTTCATTAATAACTAAAAAATGAAATAAATAGCTGGAAGTAAATGCTCATTTTACATTGGTGGTTCATGCATGATCACTAGATCTTTATCCCCAACTACCTTTACCTTAGTTAAGGCATTCACTGACTAATTGTTCTCTCAGAATATATGTTGTAGCATGCACGTCTAATTTCTTTCTAGAAAATGATGAACCTCCATAACCCATTTCCAAATGTGTGGTAAAATAACTTTTTAGTATGTACAAGGTTAATTAAGAACATTTGATGAACCTGGATAACAAATAATGTTGCTAATCGGTCCCAACATAACCAAAGACCATGCAGCAAAGCAAGTATCTCTGCATGTATAATTGGAATTCGACTACCTTTTCCATGAAAACCAACGAAATAGACTCTCCTTAACTGTTACGACAAAGACCAGCAAAGTCAACCAGGGATCCAACACATTGCCATCCACATTAATATAAGTGTCATTGTGTCATGAGGTGGGAGCAGCCATTTGTGCCAAAAGTGTGTGGGTATCCTCCAAAATCCTACATCTGGTAATTGTGAAGAAGAGAAGTGGTAGACTATTACTATAAATAAGAGGTGATAGTTTGGGTCTACTCACTACAACAACACTAGTCTTTTGGTGTATTGGGGACTTGGGTAGTTGTATGTCATGAGAGGGTTTGTAATTTTTCCGTGCAAAAATTGTGTGAGAAGGTTTCCAAGTTTCGCCAGGAAACTTGTGAATGAGAGGATTTGCAATTTTTTCCTTGTAAAAATTGCAAGTGAAGAAATAAAATAATTTATTGAGA